GGGGGGGGGGGTGGTTTGGGGTTTTTTTGTTGTTGTTTCCCAATTGCCAGATGCTGACTGGGTGTTCTGGGTTTTATTTTGCTTTTTGGTCTCATGTGATCACAGAGGCTTAGAAGTGAACTGACTTTCTGTTTATGAAAAAGCAACAATGCAAGGAAAAGAAAATAATACAAAAAATAGCCCGGACTATTTATCAGGACACGAAAAAGTTATCTGCTGCTAAAATGTGTTAGGAGGAAACTACGGACACATGGAAAATCTCTTGGAAACAAAAATAATAACCCCAGTGCCCAAGTGGGAACTTCTTAAAAGCGTTTGCTTTTTGGATCTAATGTTCCCAAAGTGCAACATCGCAGGCTGGACCCTATTCCTTGCGGGAGCCGCTGTAGAGCCAACGTGGGCAGCTCTGTGAGGGTCCCAGGCATGGGAACGGTTCCCACCTTTCACAGCTAGTAAGTCCCTATCCTGCATCCTTCCAAACCCTCCCATTTATTGCTTCTAGCGAGGCCCTGACATCTGATACCCTGCAGTGGCTGATGGAGAAAAAGAACACTCCCAACTTTGATCACTGCTCGAGCCCCAGAGAGGGACCCTGCTTTGAAGCTGGAGCCCCAGGTTTGAGTCCAACCTCCACCATCAGTCATAAGAATCAGGGCTCACCAACTTCTTCTGCAAAAGGCCCCAGAGCGAATAGTATTTTCAAGCCTTGTAAGCCACACGATCTCTGTTACAGCTACTCAACTGTGTCACTATAGCATAGAAGCAGCTACAGACAACATGGAAACAGGCAAACACGGTGATATTCCAGCGGGATTTTTTTTCACGGATGCTAAACTTTGAATTTCATGTAATTTTCACATGTCAGGAAATATTACTCTTTCGATTTTTTTTTTTTTAACCATCGAAAAAAGTACAAAACATCCTTAGCTCACGAAACATACAAAAAACAGATGGCAGGCCATAGTCTACAGATTCCTGAGCTATGTGACCACCAGAAAGTGTCATTTCCTCTTTTCCGGGCCTCAGTTGTCCCATTTGTAAAATAACCGGGACACCTGTTGATTTCCAAATGGTCATTCTGCAGGGCCAGGCGGTGTCCTGATTTTTGCTGCTTTATCACAGGCTGACCTGCAATTCCTCGGGGCAATGATCCTCGACATTCGAACTAAGGGGCTACATTTACTAAGAACCTTTGAGGGTTTTCCCCCTCTCTAATGGATCTACAGATCTTCTAAGCGACCAGTGCAATTATGTTGACTTGGGAAATGCTGAGACAGGCCTGTGAGGGAGGGATGGGGAACCGCTGAGCTGAATGGGGTTTCTGCCTCAGCCCTGCTGCTCATTAGCTGCAGGGCCCGCTCCAGCCCTCAGCCAGATTCCTCATCTATGAAGTGACAGGGTCCCACCAGATGACCTCTTCGGTTCCCCCAGAAAACTAAATAAAGCTCCTCCATGCACGGGATGACCATCCGTGGGGAAAAACAATGAGGAAGTTGCCATCATTAAACCACTGACTCACACACCGTCATGGGACAGGCTCTGTCCTCCTAGGCTGAAGAGGTCAAACTCCTGAAGGGACCCGGTGGGCATTTCTGACTGCACAAGGCGGGGGGGTGGGGGGGTGGGGTGGCCTGGAAAGAAAACTGGCCTGGATGCCTGAGAGTCTGCGACACTTAGAAGTGACCTCCCAGATGATGCTGACACAGGCTACTGGGAAGAGGCCTTTACCAAAAACAAAACAAAACCCACTTCTTGTGGTCACTTGGTGGAATGTGTGAGCATCACTACTGTGCTATCGGACTTTGGAAGCTTGACTCCCACGGGAACTGCCTGGGTCGCAAAGTTTCTCTCTTGGTACTTAGTAAAGCCAAACGAACTCACCCCATTCCTGGTATCCTCCTCTGGGGGACCCAGCAGGGCCAGAAAACAAGCCACTGCTACTTGTAAAACCACATGCAGCTACTCCAGAATACGAGCTGCTCATCTAGCCCCAAGGGTTTCCAGAGAACACTTCTGACTCTGAATGGGACCTGCCTACAATGACATTACCACCTCCACAGAGCACACCCCGGGGTCGGACCACGCCAGGGGCTTTCTGCACCAATACACGGATTTTCTGCACAGTCCGATGGTTGTTTCTGCCCAGGTGAACTTCCTGGCTTAAAATGGGGGGAAAAACACCACCCCTCTCAAAGGGGACTTCATATGCTCTACCTATCTGTCATAGTGCTAATTAACACAAGTCAAAGGAGAACAACCAAGGGCTGGGGGAGGGAGAGAGGAAAAGAGGGAAATACCAAACCCATCTCCAATGAGGTGCTTAAGTCAAAACCCATTCATCTCCCACAGGCCCATGTTTAAAGGTCACAGAGAGGTTAATGATGAGCCGAGGAATTTCAAGACGTAAATAGCCGGCTGCAGAGCCTGGGTCTGCTTTGGCCCGACCGGAGGTGTGTTTGTAAAACTTCGCCCCATCTCAAAGGCAAACCAGGCCTGCTTTCCCCCCTCCCCTCCACACCCCTGAGCGCTGAGGCTGGGCCCTGGACTGAAAGGGAGCCGGTGGGAAGGAGGACACACTTACCCAGTGGCTTGTACTCGTCGTGAGGAGACAGCCGAGAATAGGGGGGCGGTGGTGATTCTGAAAGACAGGAGACAACGGGTCACTGCTGGGGTGGGGGGGAGTTCACACCTGGGGGGGTGGACCTGCTTTTGATCATCGGTTTCCTCAAATAATAAATCCAGCCCCCAGGAAACTCTCCTCTTTTCCCACCACCTCTGCTGCCCAACAGATGAGGCCACGTGGCATACAGACCCGGCTGGACTCAATCCCTCCTCTGCCACCTTTGGCCGTGTGACCTCAGGCAAGTTGCTTCACCTCTCTGAGCTTGTTTCCTCAGCTCTAAAATAGGGACAATAATCACAAAGACCTTCCAGGTGTGCCAAGAGGGCAAAAGAAGACTATGTCAAACAGTTCTTGGTATTCTGGAAAAATACATGCACAAACAGTAACTGTTACTGTAACAAGTCAGAGCTACGGTTCCCTGATAAAACACAGGAAGCTCTGTTAAATTTGAAGTGTGGACATACGTGGTGTAATTTTTAGCATAAGTATATCCCTTGCAAGATTTGGGACATACTTACACTAAAAAATTACGTGCTGTCTGTCAGAAACTCAAATTCAACTAGGCATTCTTTAGTTTTATTTGCTAAATTTGGCAACTCTAATCAGCACCGAGCATGAGAGACACAGAAGCTCCTTCCAGATCAGCTGCATTACAACTGACATTCTTGGGGGCAGGGTGGAAGGTAAGATTGGCTAGATCCCAGGAAGTCAACCCAGCTACCTAGATGAGAGACCTTAAGCCAGTCACTTCCAGCTAGCTCTCAGCCTCAGTCTCCCCCTTTGTAAAGAGAAGGGGTGGCCCACACGTTCTCCGTGGCCTCCCATCTCAGACCCTCTGTGATTCCTTATCGTCTACGGTATTTTTCTTTGGGTTTCCTTTCATTTGCCCAAAATACTCCTCCTTGAAAACATATATTTTGTCTTCAGAAGAATTCCTTAGCCTCTTGCTTTAGGGGAAGTAACAATTTGCTAAACTAAGTAACAATTTGCATGAATGAAATGACCCTTCATTTTCCCTAAATGAAACTAAACACCATCAAATCGCAAACTAAAACAAACTCTCGGTGGTAGTAAAGTGGTAATAACTATTATTAGGCAGGTATCAGTAATGACACAAGGGGTAATAAGTGTTTTTCGCAATGATAATAGGGCACAATTAGCTGTAGGAGCATTTGTTTTTTGCTCTGTACACCCAATGCAGCTTGACTTCTTCCCCACCCCAGCATTTCCAGCCTGAAATTACTTCAACAAAGTGAGGGCTCTGAGGTCTAGAAACAGGGAATCTTTTGTGGACAGGAGTTTGAGAGAAGGAAAAGTGAATCACAGAATAGCCACTGGGGACAGAAGCAAACATGCGCTGAATGCCTACCCTGTTTCTTCCTCCATGCAGGGCATTTTCTATTTCGTTTATTGTGTTTCATTCTTCTGGGTCTTAGGTACAGAGTGGTTAATCATGCTCATGGGTACCTATTCTTATTTTGTCCTTTCTCCAAAGTAAATAAGATGGCCATTATTATTCCCATTTTACAGATGTGAAGACTGACTTGCCCAGTGTCCCCCAGCCAATCATGATGGAACTGGAATTTGGGCCCGGGCCCGACTTGGCTCTACATCCCAATGACACAGGCAGCAACAAGAGGCAGCCCGTATCACACCGCCTCACCCCAGCGAGGTCCAGCACGTCACGGGCACAGAGAGGGCTCAGTAAACATCTAAAGTCATTATCCTCATGATGGTGACGAGGATAATGGCAAAGTTCGGGCCGTGTAGACAAAGGTGTGGAGAAAGAGGACCTAGAAGGAGGCCAAAGGGGTGACTCCAAGGAGATGCCAAGCCAGACTCGAGGGAGGGAACTATCTGCCTTCAGTAGGACCCACGTCACACCCACTGGCGCAGGCCTTGGGAGGGGCTGGAGACCAGACTCAGCGAGGACCAGCCTTGCTTCAGGACACGAAGCAGTACGCAAGCGGGGCTAGAGCTTTACCAAGAAAGACAGTTGAGGCTGGCGCTCCCACTGTACAGTGACCACTGAGGCCTGGACAGTGGGAGCGGCTCCCTCAGTGCCACACGCTGAACTGGTCATAGAGCCAAAGTCAGGACCAGAAGCCAGGTCTCCTGATCCCCAGCCTCATGCCCTTCCCACCACCCCACTCAACTTATCAGAAGGCCTGCAATTCCTGGGTCAGGGCTCCTTTTGCAAAAATCTGATCTGCTAAGGCTCAGGCCACACATGGTGGGGAGGTGGGGGGGTGCTCCGGACAGCTGCCCTCCCAGATCTGTCCCCCGAAAGTAAAACCTGCCAGCGATGGGCCGTGGAGGCTGGAGTCAAGCCACTGTAATCAACCCCAGGATTTCACCCAGGGGCTGCTTACCTGGAGCCCAAAGCTGAAAATACAGGGGAGAAGGGCTACTGAAGTCCCCTCTTGAAGGAGCTGCCTGAGACAGCCACCACCCATGGCCACACGCAAGCTGGGTGTGTCCTGATGTGAATGAGGCACAAAGCGAATCTACAAACTTGGAACGTCCATCTCACCAGCGAGGGAAGCACTGCAAAGCTTTGGGGAGGGACCTGACCAGGCCCCCACGTGCTCCAGCAGAACAGTTCGCACAGAACTGTTTAACAACTTTAGAGGCTGGAAGCTGAACGCTACATTCCATCCTGGGCAAGTTCAAAAGTATGAAGGCCCACAGACTCCGCCACGAGACACGGGGATTTATAATGTCAGGCGGTCACCCAGGTCAGCTGCTGCTTTCAACGGATGGGGCACCCGAGGTCCGGCCAGGTAGGCCACAGAGGAAGGCACAAGATGTTATTTTACTTCAGCTCAACAAAGGGCCAGGCCAGGCGGGAACCAACACCCGGTTACCTTTTTTGAACACCTGAGTTCTTCTGCTCACCTACCCTAAGATTCACTCTTTGAAAGTGTTGAATTCAGTGCTTTTTAGTATATTCAGAGTTGTGAGACCACCACCACAATACAATTACTGGACATTTTCATCACCCCAAAGAAGCCCTGTCCCGTTAGCAGTCGGTCCCTATGCCCTCAACCCGTGGGCAACCACAAATCTACTCTCAGTCCCCGTGGGTTTGCCTATTCTGGGCATTTCACACAGACTCACATAGTAGGAGGCTCTTTGTGGGGGGCTTCTTTCACCCAGCATAATGCTTTTAAGGCTCATCCGTTCAATAGCTGCATTCTTCTTTATGGCTGAATGATACTCCATCGGATGGATATACCACATTTGGTTACCCATTCATCAGCTAATAGACATTAGGGCTATTTCTGTTTTCTGACTTTTAGGAATAATGCTGCTATGAACAGTACTGGGTAACCTTTAACCGGCCCCTCTGCTTCACTCCCACACTACCAGGCCCCACGGATCTGGGAGAGTGGAGCCCTAGGTCATTAACGCAGGTGGACTACTCAGTACTCGAGACAAAAGGACAGAAGAGGAAGTGTGGGCTGCCTCCAGGCCCTCTCTCCGCTCCCCTCCGAGAAGCTACCTGATGAGTGAGTGCCAAAGTTGTGTTGATTTTTCGGTAATAAACTTAGATGCTCTAAGCTTGAAGGGGAGAGCCCCCCCCCCCCCCAGAGCCCTGCAGGCTCCTCTGAAAGCAATGGACATGAGAGAGACAGACAGACAGACAGACATCAGACACTCCAGCCCCCTCAGACATCCAGCCTCAGGCATCAACTTCAGGAATCTCCTCCAACTTCCTTCAGAAGTAAGAGCAGTCAGCCAGGGGCCAAGTGTACCAGAAGGTTAGTGCTCAGCTCAGCTCGGCCCAAACGTGCCTCTGGTTAGCCCCCTAGTGGGTGGAGGGGGGTGATACTTAGCCTTTCGGGATCTGGACCCTAATTCTAAAGCCAGAAGAGCTCCCAGCCTCTCCCAGTGCCTGGTAAGGTTTCAGTTTGGGATAATGCCTTCCATCCCCACCCCCTTTGAGCCCATCATCTCCCTTAGGAAAGGATCCGCTTGCCTCCCTGGGCCTCCCGGTTGCCACCTTCCGCAGGGGGTGGCTGTGGGTGGGGAGGGGGCCTCCCGAGTGCCCTCCCCTCCACCCCCAGAACCTGAAGGCTCAACCTCAAGCCCGGGACGGGAGCCTCAGAAAAGGAGCTCCTGGCGCTTTAAGGCCGGCTGAGCCTAATTGCCCAGATTCCCCCGGCAGCCAGATAAACAGCGCGGCCGGCTGGCGCCAGCAAGAGGCAAACTGCACATTATCACCCCTTCCTCACCTCCAAGGAGGAGCTCCGCGGAGCAGGGCGGGCGGGCCGAGGGGCCGCCAGAGGGGCGGGGCAGGGGCTTGGAAGCCCAACTTGAAATTGATCTCATTTCAAAGGGATAATGCCAGGCCAAATAAAAGGAAAACTTTTTAGCCCATTCTAATTCCTATAGTCCTGGCCTGGGAACCCTGTGTTTTCCTAGGCGGCCTCCTCCAGTCGTTTAGAAGTTCTCTCTCGCTCTGTCTCTTTCCCTGGCGCAATTTGGATAATAGTAATTTACTGAATATAATTACAGAAAAAAAAAAAAAAAGTAGTGAAGCAAAGAGCAGGAGATTTATTCCAAAGTTAATGGATACTTTCAGGAGAAAGGAGCTGTATAAACACAGGTTAAACTGTGATTAAAGTATTTCTCCACATTTCCGTCCACATAGGCACCAAGCTCAGCGAACTGGCTTTTCCCGCGACAGAAAGACACACAAGAGGGAAGGAGAGCTGGGGTCTGACTCCCAAGGGGTCGAAGGTGCAGGGCAGGCCGGGCACAGAGGAAAGACCCCCACTTTCTGAGACAAGCATGGGGGAGAGGGCAGGGCAGGGGAGGCAGGCCTGTGTCACCTGGAATCCGCCCATATCAGACCCTAGGGATTCTGTCCACCTCCTCACTTTACCCATGGGAAGGGGAACTGGCCCCAATGTCCCAAAGCAAGTTGATGGATGGGAGCAGGGTTTGCCCTGAGCAGCAGGGGTCAGCACTGCCCAGAAAGGGGCCTCCTGTCACTTGGGCTCCCTGTGGGGATCAGGTGGGCACTGGTGCCCCTCAGTTGGCCTGCTGGGTATTCCGGTATACTCTCCAGCTATGTGCCTGCTATCCATGAGTGTGTCTGTCTTGTCTGCCCCAGTGCCCCAGCCCTCTTCCCTCAGAGCCCTGGACGGAGCAGTCTCCTTATCAGGATGCGCACGGCTGAGCTCCAGCTATGCACCCGCCCAGCTTCAGGAGCCAGGCTGGCGGCCAGGCAGCAGGGGTGGGGTGGGCAGCAAAGGGCTCCCCAGTTCTCGGTCCCAGCGGCCCAAGCCACCAGGCAGGGGATGAGGCAACAGGGTCAACCTGGCGCCTACTGAACACTCTTCCCAGACCATGGGTCCCCCCCCAACTGCCCCCAGGGTGGCTTGAATGGGGGAAGGAGGGGGAGGGCTGGCAAACAGGCAGGAGACACAGCCCCTGCACCAGTGCCTCCTTTTGGGAGGAGAAAGGGAGAAAGGGAGTCAAGTGCCAACAATGCTCAGTCTAGAATGAGATGTGGAGAGTGTTCTAGAGCCACCCCCATTCCACTCACAAGGAGACTGTGAGGAGAGGTTATTCACCCAAGGTCAAACTAGCCTTACTAGAGAGCCTAGGACCAGGTCTGTGGTGAAGAACTTCCAATGCAGGGGAAAAACTGCCCCCAACCTGTACCTGGCAGTCTGTGAGGCTCAAACCACCCCCTAAGGTGACTTCTAATCCAAGGTGTAGAAACAGGGTGGGGGGAGGGGGCCTGTCTGTTGCTCCAACATTTCCATGCCATCCCTTCCGGCTCACACACCTGAGCTTGCCTGGCACCTTGACTCTCGGCTGGCCCTCCCCTCCTCCTCCATGCCCACCTCCCCAACCCATCCTCCAAGGTGGTCTCCAAACAGAGCTATGGAGCTCCTGGAGGGGATCCTGTTACCTGCACACCCCACAGCGCTCTGATAGTTCAGACCCACTGACCTGACCCTTCTTCCCCCATCTCTGCCCCATCTCCCTGCCCAGATTATGTTTCTTAAGGGCATGGGTCGTACTCCTATTTCCGCTTTCCCCACTCTGGCACCCAGTACGGTGCCTGGCACAGAGCAAGTGCTCAACAAATAGTCACTGGCAAACTGACCTGGTAAGAGAGAAAATACCTGCCAGAGCCTGCTAAAAAGCACACAGTGAGCCCCACCAATTATCTCCCACTAAATAAAAATGACGAGGGACAGGGTAACCACAAATGGGGACCTGGGCCCCAGAGTTAGGGAGGAGACAGGGTGGCAGAGGGGAGGAAGCCACTTCCAGGAGAAGCTGTCTGGAAGAGGAACAAGGGACACAGAAAGCCTACCACAGGTCACAGGTCAGGGACTGCCCACAGCCCTTGAATCAGGCCTGGAGTGACCATGTGGGGACCAGGGCGACCAGATGAATGCTGCCTCTCCCCACCTACCCCCCATCAGTGCTGTCCTCAGGAACCACCACTGAAGCACATTCCTTTCCCCTCCAGCCACTACACTGCACAGAACAAGACATCTGGGACAAATCCTGGGCCCACCCTCCCCTTCCATACTAGGTATCAGAAGATCTGTGATCTGACCCTCTATGTGCCCCCAGGCTGGGTGCAGACTCTCCAGAGGGGACAGACTGGAGGTGCTCAGAGCCCTTCCAGGCCCAAGAGCCTTTATTCTTCCAGCAGGTCTCACCCCCACAGGCCCCCCCAAAGCCACCTAAGATGCATACACCCCTAAGATGCTACAGGCAGAAATGTGCAAGCCCTGCAGAGCAGAGGTCAGAACAGGGCAACTGCAAGCTTCTGGCCTGCCAGAAGCCTCCACCTGTCCTCACCTCTGTTCCAGAACCCAGGGCCTGCTCAGGTAAGCAGTGCTGGGGGTGGGTGTGTGTGGGAAATCCCAGGAAGAGAACAAAGAAGGGAGGCAGTTCTCAGAGGTAAATAAAATATCTGGCCTTCTCGCCTCCTCCTCCAGACACCTCCAGGACCCTCTAGAAAAACTGGACACAGAATTGACAATGATGACCATGGCGGGCCCTGATATCTGACACCCAAGGGATGCTGGGAACAGTCAGGCAAGAAGGTGGTCTCCACTTTGAGAGAGGAGCTTTGCTCCGAGTATACAAAGGAACAAGTGTGACAATTTATGAACACCGGTGACTCTGGCCGTGAATGATCTCTAACACCCCGTTTCACAACTTGTATCCACCTGGATATAGGAAAGTATCGCGTTAGGTATAAATAGACTGGGATAAACCGGGAGGGGGGCGAACGACTCTGTGTTGGGCTTCCGTCAGGCCTGCCCTTCTCTTTCACTGTCTATGAAGCTACAGCGTAAGTTAGGTCCCTGAGGCTGCATTGAGAAAACTCCAATGCACTGCCTTTTAAGTCTGCCGGAGCCGTAAAAAGAAGGTGCCATTTGACACGTGTGCCCCGATACCCACTTCCCGGCCGTCCCGCCAGGGTGAGGAGCTTCCACCGCGGGCTCCCACGCACCAGGGGCACCCGGGGTAGCAGCCCCAGCTCCCCCCGCCCGCGGCGTCGCGGACCGAAGGGCCGCGGAAGGGGGCGGGGAGGGGAGACAACCCAACACTCCCCGGCCCGCCTCCTGCCCTCCTGGCCTGAGCCGGCTGAAGTGTGGTGGGGTTGCAGCACTTCCCACGGTCAGGCCGTCGTGGCGGCACGGCGGCGGCGAAGCTGTGGCAGCCGCACAGGGGCTTCAGCTCCACGGCGTGCTGCAGGTCGGGCCAGCGGAAGAGGCGGCCGAGCAGCAGCTGCGGCGGCGCAGGCTGGCCACGCCAGGCGGGAGGTCGGCGCGCGGCACCAGCGGCGCGCACCTGACCGCCCGACGCGCACTGCACTGGGACCGCCTCAACAGCGTCAGCAGGCAGCTCATGGTACTTCACCGGCAGCAGGTACGTGACCGTCTTGAGTTCCTGCTCGACAGCAACAGCCGCAGGCAGGGCTTCGCGGCCCCTCCCGCCCGCCGCCGCCGCCTCAGGCCGCCCGACCGGGGGGTCGCCGGCGATCCTGGCGCGCCAGCATCCCCTTCCCGAAAAGCAACAAGTGCAGTCTCCGCAGATCACTTTCAGAACCCAGCCAGCGGCCTCCCGGCTCCCGCCAGATCCAGCCTTCCCGGCAGCAGCTCTGGCCATGGACCTCCGGGGAGTTACGCTCAAGCGCCTCCCAACCCTCAACTATCCACCCGCGTCCCAGGCCGCCACTTGGAATTCAGGGCGGACTTCTACGGGCGGCCACAACCTCCTGTCTCTGTGCCCGCGGGGCCCGGCTCAACTCGGCTACCCCAATACCCCATCCTCGCCGACGCCGCCCGCCACCGCCGCCTCTCTTCCTCCGGTCGAGACCCACGACTTCGCCAGTCGCCGCACCAGCCCCGAGCGTTTTGGACCTGAACATACGATCGCTGGCGCCGGGGGTGGGGGGAGGCACAGTCTGCGGTTACCGGTCCGTTCCGTCAGCGAGGCGCCGGCTGCCTGCCGCGAGCCCGCAGCCCCAAACTCACCGCCGGGCATAGTGCAGGTCGCGCACAGCCTGTCGTCAGAAGGGGCGGGGCTGCAACCATAGAAATCTCACCGAGGCCGGGACGACGGGGAACACTTACCACCACCGAGCCTGCAATCCGCCAGACCAGCGTGACTACATGGACCCCGGCGACCGGGCTACTCTCTGGCAACTCAGCCCCAGCTGGAGACTACAGGCCGCCCTCATAAAGAAAAGACCCACATGGACACGGCAAACCTTCAAAAGTTAGCGCGACTGGTCCATGAGCACAAAAACATCCCACTTGAACCCCAGATGTGTCCAGGGCAAGCCTACCTTTAAAACAAACAGCAACAACTACGGGCTTTCCTGCTGGGATCCAGCCATTGGTGATACCTTCAGCTTCCTTCCCCTGCCCCTCCTACACAAAAAGAAAGGAGGGAGGAAAAGAAAAGAAAAGAAAAGAAAGCCCAAACAAAACCAAAATCTCGGGTGCATGCACGGCCAACTCGTCTCGGGTTGAGCAGGCGCTAGATGCGCGCATGAACGAGTTTCTCCTGAACGCGGGTGTCAACATGGTGGAAGCTTGCCAAATCCCAAAGAGCTGTTTGAGGGGAATCATTAAAAATGCAATCCACCGAGGCAGAGGTCGCAGCCCCGCCCACACTCGGACGCCCAGGGCGCCACCGGCTGCGGGAGTCAGATCCCCCTCCCTCCACAAAGTGCTCGCGGGGCAGCCCCACCCGGTCCCCTGCGAGATCTGGCGGGCGGCGCCCGGCTCTTTCTCCTCGGCTCCCGGCTCCCTCGCTCGCTCCCCGCTCGGCTCTCTCTTTTTTGTTCTCCTCAAGCAGGGGCCCCGGAGGCACTGCGAGTCGTGGCTGCCTCCCCATCACCAGTCTAGTACTGGCGGCTCCATGGCACTGTTGATTGTTGCCTGTGCTCAAGGTTCAGTTTCTTAACTCTTAAAGAGAACACGTCCCATTGCGGGGCTGATCCGAAGGGCCGGCAGGGCGAACCGACTCGGGCTCCCGCCCGCTCGGCACCGCCCCAACCTGGCAGCGCCCACGGCCAGTTTTCAAACCGCGATCGCGCCGCGGGCTGGATGCTGAAACGAGCACCACCCCCCTCGCGCGCCACACACCTGAGTTACACAAACCACCTGGCGAGCGGCGCGGGAAGGCTCGGTGAGACCTGAGACTTGGATGCAAGGACGCTGCCTCTCCCTGGCTTATGCCTGGCACCTAAACCTGTGCACTTTAGGGGAGGACAACCCCATCCCAGGGAAGGGTGTAATAATGTCTGGGTGTGCTTGTGTGCCTTCCTAGCCTAGGGGAATGCTCTTGGGAGCAGGGGGCGGCCGTTCTTGTTACAGTAGCAGGATCTTGATGACAAGGTCATGCTCACCACCCCTGTCGCAGTCAGGGTCTCTCTACTGAGGCAAGTAAGGGACTGGGACACTTAGCGCAAGGGCTCCAGAGCTTGCCCGAGTAGCAGGGGTTTTGGGGTGGGGGTAGGGGCAGGAGTATCTCCTCTCGGCTCCTCCACGGTCGCTCTCCCTCAGAGCTAGGCGAGCCAACGATCCCAGGCCCCCTCAGGGGCCAGGTGCTTCCTCACCTCCCTCCCCAAGTGATTCTCACCACCAAGAGAGGATAGGGATTCTTTATACTCCCCTGCGTTTCACCAAGGAAATGGGGGTCCTGGGTTGAGGCAGGGTCCAACCCACTGGGTCCAGGACTGGCTGAGAGAGGCGCACGCGGCAGCAACAGCAGGCCGCCAGCGCGGAGGGGTAAAGACTCCTGCCCCTGAGCCAGCGCGGCGAATCCTCCTCGGGCGCGCTCGCTCGTCCGAGGGTGGCAAAAGTTCAAGCTTGTAAAGTCGGGATTGGTCCCGCGCGGAGGGAAAAAAGGCCTGGTTACCCCCTCCCCCCCCGGGCGCGGCGCCGATTGGCCGGGCCGTGGGGCGGGCACCGCCCTCTCCGCGGCGCGCGGCGGCCCCGCCCCCGGCGCGGCACCCCGCCCCTTTCCGGGCAGGAGCCTGGCCCCGCACTGAATGAAAGAAATTCCGCTACTCTCATTGGCCCGGGGCTGGGCGCCATTCCCCCGCGGGGGCCGCGGGGGCGCCGGCGCGCGGGTCTCCCCCGGGGGTGCCCACGTGTGGGGCTGGCCCTTTGAGTGTGCGGCGGGGCGAGTACCCCGCGGGGCTCGGAGTCTGTGTGAGCGCTGGGGGAAGGGCGGTGTATTCAGGAAGGGCTCGAGCCATTTGCTGAGCTGTACCTGGAGCCAGGTACTGTTCGCGCCGCGCTCTCCGGGAGACGTGGTTTTTCTTTCGAAGGGAAGACGGGGCCGAGAAGCTTCCTCACCCCCATCCGCTACTGCTTTGGCCAAATCAAAATAGCTGTCAGTGTCCTGTTTGAAAAACGAGGGTGACGGTGCCTACCCTGCGCTGCTCACAGGACCGTGAGGATCCTTTGGAGAGTGTGCATTTTAAGCGCACAAATCGCAAGTGAACAGGGAGATGAATTTTCGCAAGTGAATGCAACACTTGTGTAACTAACCAGCACCCAGAAGCCCATCTCGTGGTCCTTTCGGTCATTTCTCGCCCCTGGGGGAAAAATACGAAGAATAACTCAGTGTCAAGTGTTTTCTTTTATCGGGGTATTCGCTGGTTTGGCTGTGGATTGCAATAATAAATAAGTCGGAGCTTATTGACTCCTTACTGCGGGCAAGGCCATGTTCCAGGCATCATAAGGATTCAGTCACTGAATTCTCCCAACAACCCTGATAGGTGGTGTTATTATTTCCCTTTTACAGATGAGGAAACTGAGGCACAGGAACTTCCATTCAATTCGCCACTGACCAGATAGTGTTGAGAGTGGTAAAATGCTAAAACCAGATAGGCATAAACCAGTATGTATGCTCACCCCACAAGCTAACGGTGTGTGGGTCTGTGTTTCCAGAGCATACCTTCCAGGGCAGTGATTTTCAAAATGTCCACTGGACCTGCTGAATCAAAGTATTATGGGATGAGGCCCCAAACACTTGGGGGTAGGTATGGTTGTTACCACTATTTTACAGATAAGGACACTGAGGCACAGAGGCTTTAACCTGCATAAGCTTTCAGTTAGTTGCAGAGGCGGGATTTGAACCCAGCCAGCTGAGCGGGATAGGTGCAGGGATGAAGGTATGGAATGGGGCAGCAGGCTGGAGATGGGTTACCTTCTTCCCTGGGCAGTAACTCATAGTTTGGCTTCTGTTCTCATTCATGCAGAGATGCAACATTAGGGGCGAGGTGCCATTAGGTGCCTGCTGGATGCCATCTGAGGAGCACTGAAGCCAGAGTCTGGTAGGCCTAAGTTCAGTAGTGACCTTCCTAAACTTCCCTCAGCTTTATAAGCCTCTGGGTTCTCATCTGTAAAATGGGAATTGGGGTCATGCTCCAGGCGGTTACCAAAATTAAATGACATGAGGACCCAGAGTCATCCCTCATTACAGGAAGATGCCTCTGAGTGGAGATAGCATCAGGAAGGGAAGGGCACTGATAGTTCGGTCCACTGTCCTTGGATTCTCAGGGCCCATCCAGCCCAGCACTGGCCCGCACTGCGACCACTAGAGGGTGTGTGAGAGCCCAGCAGGGCAGGGCCTAGGAGCCACAGCCTAAGGGTACCCTCCTGGACTGCCCTCCAGAAAACAAGCTCCAGTTCCCTGGGGGTATAGAAGAAGAGGAAAGTGCTATGCCAGCTGATGTTCTGCAGACCCCCGCAGCCACATTACTCACAAAGTAACTCACAAAGAAGTGATCCTAACCCCTCAGATTCAAAGCTGCTCCCTCCCCATTATTCCAGTATTTTCCCAAAGAATCTGGTGCTTTCTCTTTGCACTGCTTCTCCCAATACATAACCGTACGATTCCATGTCTATTCTCCTCTGCCTCTGGAACGTAAGCCCCATACGGGGAGAAATGGTGAGCTGTCAGCTGCCCCCCCCACCACCACCCACAGCAGTGCTGAGGGAGTAGAGTCAGAAATAGGCCATTGGAGACCACCCTGTGCCATCAAAGAAGGTAATTCACACGAAACCACGTTGCCCATTCCTCTCTGCAGTCCCTAGCACAACGCCTGTCATGTCATGGGCACCCAGTATCTTCGAGGTGGTTGAATTCAAATCTCTCACTTCACCAAGCTTCGTGCTCATCATCATCCTGTATCAAACATTTATATGCACTACCTAATCAAATCCACCCCCCCCCCCAAATCAGCACAATGAAGAATTTAACATTCTTACTAGACCTGTTTTCTAGAGAAGGAAACAGAGAGCATAAGTAATTTGTCTCTGGTCACATTGCCAACAGATGGCAGAGTTGGGACTTGAACCCAGGGCTGCTTGCCCTGAGGCTTAACTTCTCAACACCTGGTCTTGGATAAGAAAACATGGTCCTTTGCCCTTGGGAGTTTCCACATTAGCTGGGAAGACACGGGCATGAAACAACAGAAATCATATAAGGGAGCACTTCCTTCTTGGTGGTGGGAAAGGGCAATCTCTAGGGGCCCCTGCTTATAAACAGAAGCGCCACAGAAGTCTGGGCAACATCTTGCTGTGGTCAGATGGATTGGCAAGGTGAATGATTCATCCTAACCCAGTTCACAGGAGCCTGATGGA